GGTACACGAAAATATAGCATAAGTAAGCTAACTTACGAACGCTGTTTTTCGCTGCCTTAAGTCTTAGCAAGGGCCTAGCTGGTAGCATCATACTAGCTTTGCATGAATGAAATCCTAATGATGCGAGGTACCCTCATTTTGCCGTAAGTCGTTCAGACCATTAGCGAGGAACATTAGTCACATAGATAAGACACTAGTATGTGCCTTATTCATCGGATAACCATGAGAATAGAGATATAGTTAGGTTGATATTTCCACAACATGCCCTTCTCGAAACAACAGCAGAAGTGACTTCAAATTGCCTGCCGATGATCCTACTCGATTTTTCATATTTTTTTTTTTAAAGCAAGCCACAGTTTTCACTGGACACCAACATTCAGGGCATTAAACAAAGAGAGATTGCCAGCTATTACTAAGATACAGTGCCTATCAAAGAATTAGAATGCCCGGACATACGTGTGCATGCAAACGAATTCAAGCAAATTGACATCACGCATCACGCTTCATTTGAACATGCAACGAGCTGAAGTAAAAGGCATCACACTCACATCGCGCACCAATTATACATGCAAACGACTTCAATTGATCGGGCTCCACACATCACGCGACAGCCATCACTTACACATGCAAACGATTTTAAGCTAGTATATATCAAACATAGAGGCACATGTCACGTTCGCATCATTGACCATGATGAGCCCTGTATGTTGAGATTTGGTCGCCGACTTTTTATAAGAATAGATTCATTTATTTTCCTGTCTGGGTGATCCTCATCGGGTCCATACTTCTCTGGATTTCTGCCAAAGCATGTTTTGCCCCAAAATGATCACCGAAAGGGTTATTCCCTGTTTTGTTTTAGCGTCGATCATCGGCGGGCAATTTTAAATTTACTTCTGCTATAAGTTGTGATAAAAGCATGGTGCCGAAATACCAACGCATTTATATCTCTATTCTCCATGTTTAAGGCGAGGAAAAAGGCTATTACTATTGTCTTATTTGTGCGCACAATATTCCTCGCAAATGCACTTAACAGCTTACGTAATTTTGAACCGAATAGTAGGCATCAGGATGTGCTAGCTGAAACTCTTAAGAGCCCAGAAAAAAACTAGCTAAAACTCAATTGCACATTGAATTCTTAATTGTCTGCCGGAAGAAAAGCTTAGTCCCACGGTTCATTGAAGACGTACTGAAGCCTGTGACGCACATTTTCTCCAAGAATACTAAGGTACACGTTCTGATAACTTTACTGATGTTTTATTGAACGAGGCAATCACAGAAACTTTTGGAAAGAAGACATTTTTGGAACGATGACACTCACGCTTACTCGGATCGATCTCATTTTCCTCGAGTATACGCTTACGCATTATATACGCATATACGCATTTTCCTCGAGTATACGGTACGCTTACATACGTGCGACTTGTGAGCGAGTTTTTGAAATCACTCTTCGTGAAAATAGACCAAGACTGGTCAACAAATTTGCATAACTTCAAGCTAAGTACCGGGTGAATTACTGCTGCGAAGAACAGGTTGACAGTCAAACAAGTCAAAAGGGAGTGTATAATTTGTCATCCATAAAACTTAATACCACAGACTTAATCTGCTAGCCAGAGGTCCGAACTTTGCGCTAACGCAGGCAGCATGTAAGGATATTTTACTATAAGTAGAACAACGATTTGAGCGTTTTGCATACGGCAGACGATGGAAGGACTGCATCTCAAAATAGCGTAATGGTAGCAACACAACTAGCACTGCAACTGCACCGGGCCAAGATCAACCATCTTCAGTAGACGACGCAACAGTACCATCAGAACCACCGAACGCACGTTGTTGCCCCGGTGGGACAGACGCAGAAGATCGCAAAAATCAGCCTCAACGAGATCACATCCCAAATCTGTCGCTTAGATTTCCAGACATCGGTAAGAACTTTCCGGAACCTGTCAGTATGAAGTGGAAGTCAGCCTACAGAAATTGAAGGATGATGTACTGCGCACGTTCAAAAACCGCAAAGTAGGCAAACTTAATGTCACTGCAGATCAGCGGAGCATTATCAGGGACCTTGGCAAAAATGATGATATCATGGTTAAACAGGGCGTTAGGTGTGAGGGTTGTGTAATCTTAGACAGGCCAACTTATGTTAACAATGCTAAGGCTATACTTAACGACAGCGACAACTTTGCAACACTGAATAGGAACCCAGTCCCTCAGGTAGAGGCTAAAACAAAAAGAACACTAAAGAGTACAGTTAGTGGAAAACTTTCGAACAAAACCATCAATGATTTGACAGCTAGACACAGCAGAACGCCTGTATTCTATAGAATGCCTGAAGATCACAATCCTGCAGTGCCCCTTAGACCTGTCATGTCTGCGTGCGGTGGTCTTACAGAAAAAACTTCGTGCCTTTTAGAGAAAATACTCAACCAACTCTTGAGGTTTGTTCCCACTCACCTGTGGGACACCAGATACTTTTTTTAAAAGGCTTCTAATCATTCGCAGGCAGAAGGGTTACCAGAAGTCAGCATTTTCTTCAGTGTAGATGTTGTCAATTTACATAACAATATACCAGCGAATGAGGCTATCGCTGCCGTGAAAGCTAAGTTAGACAAACATTTCCGTGAAATTGATGCTTTCGGTCTTGCAAAAAAGGATATCTGCGGTCTGTTAGAACAGTGTCTCCAGGATCATCTTTTCTCGTTCGGAGATGACATCTATCGACAAAAATTGGGAATATCAATGGGGAGCCCATGCGCTCCTCCTCTGGCCAAAGTATTCTTAGACCACTTTGAAACGAAGGCCCTGGCCGCCAGCCTATCAATACCAAATTTCTTAGCTAGATACATTGATGATTGTGCTGGGGTATGGACGCAGGGACAGCGTGCCCTTCAATAGCTTTAAGAGTTCATGAATAACCAACATCCAAATCTAGCTTTTACGATGGAGCATACAGGGGCGGAAAGGGGTCCCTATCTGGGTACGCTAGTGACAGTGGAAATGAGGAACAACCGCACAACGCTAGAAACGGAGCTCTTTATCGAGCCCACCAATTCTGGTGTCATTCTGCACTGCGAATCTGCGCATCGAACTTCCACTAAGCACAACATAATTCGTAAATTGTTCCATAGGGCTCTAAACAACTAATCAAGCAGTGAAAAGGAAAGAAAGGGAGTATGCAAAATGTGGAGTTTGCTGTTGGGTAATGGATATTTTCCGCAACTTTTAGGTGGAATGTTGGAAGAAGAAAAAAGTATAGAGTACGTCGGGGAACGGGTGGTGGGAGGCGCGAATGCGTCCTATCGGAAAACGGATTCTAACGATACCTTACATAATTGAGCACTTGCTTTGGAAAATCAAGCACATTGTTAAAAATCAAAACTGCGCATACGCATAGCTTGCGAAAACGACAAGAAGCTTAAAAAGTCCCTGGTGAAATCTTCCATCTCGATGCCTAAGTGCCCGGGTAGCAGCACATGCCATTTATGCAGTTCTGGTTTTCAAGGGGTTTGCGCGCAAAAGAACGTGGTTTACGAAATCTAGTGTAAACTGTGTGAAAAACAAGGGAGGGACACAGCCTTTGCCGGGCAGTCCATGCGCTCTATTGGCTTGAGATATAATAAACACATGCGAGACGCTAAAAACAAAACAGAGAATACCCCTTTCGGTGGCCAGTTTTTGGCAGAACACGCTCAGGCCGAAATCCAGGGAAGTATGGACCCTATGCCATTTTTAGAGCTGGAAGTCATCCACAGAGCACAAGATCACCCAGACATGAAAATAGGTGAATCTCTTCTTATGAAATGTCGGCGACCAAATCTTGAAACACAGGGCCCATCATGGCCAATTATGCGGACGTGATATGTGCTTCTATGTGTGATGTGTACTAGCTTAAAATCGTTTACATGTGTAATTGATGCCTGTCGCGTGATGCGCGAAGCCCGTTCAATTGAAGTCGTTTGCATGTATAATTGGTGCGCGATGTGTGATACCTTTTACTTCAGCTCGCATGCATGTTCGAATGAAAGGGTGATGCGTGATGCCAATTGCTTGAATTCGTTTGCATGTACACATATGTCCGGGCATTATAATTCTTAGGTATGCGCTGTATGTTGGCAATGGCTAGCAATCTGTCTTGTTTAATGCCCTGCATGTTGATGTCCAGTAAAAACTGTGGCTTGCTGTGAAGAAAAAAAAACCTGAAAATCGAGTAGGATCGTCTGCAGGTGATTTGAAGTCACTTCTGCTATTGTTTCGAGGAAGGCATGTTGCCGAAATGTCAACCTAACTATATCTCTATTCTCCTGTTTTTTTCCGAGGAAGAAGGCTAATGCTAGTGCCTTATCTTCATTTTGATATAAAATAAGCACGTGGGTCCCTTATTGCCTATCGGTGGAAAGAACATATCCTTTCTTGCCAAAAAGCGTGCCAGGTTAGGACTGTCCCACCCCCCCCCCCCGCCACCCCCCCCCGCCCCCTTTCGAATATAGAGGTGGACGCGTCCATACTCCCCCGATGGAGCCGCCTCTGACACTAACCGGGGCGGAAGCCGACGCCAAAGGCTCAAGCCGGTCATTTTAACAGAGAAGAACGAAGCGCAATGAAAATTGGGATGCCGACTGCCATCTTTTCTCTCTAAAACTTGAATGGGAAGTGCTAAATGGAAGCTCTAGAGGTGGTGCCAATTAAGTACATGTTGCTGGTACTCACGCTCACGCCACTTTAATAACTTTACTTTCTATCACAAAGGTCGGGGCATAAGTTGAATCGTGTTAAAAACAAGACACATATTGTCGTGGAATTAACTGAAATATAGCCTGCTTTGCTTCCATGAACAGAAAATCAGGCACTTGTAAGTGTATTGAACATCATAGTGCAGCGAGGCAATGTTTTTGAGACCAACAAAATTCAAACGATATTTTGAGGCGATTGCGTCGCTGCTTGTAGCGCGCTTCCATATCCATGAATGTTCTTTTTTGCTGCCGTTGAATCTTGCGGATCGTGCGCGCTGTATGCCTCGGTTCGGCGTGTGGGGGTTGGGCCGTTTCATCCAGCATTTCTGGGCAAGCATCTCGGTTGCGAAGCCAAATGGGGAGAGGGCGGTCCAACTGAGGACATCTTGTGCCGCTACGAAATCTTCCTTCCATTGGTTCGTATTCTTTGGTGCATAAGTATAGTTACAAAGGCTGCTCCTTTGTGTTGTGTTGGGTCGTCTTAACTAACCTATTCGTGTTTGAGGAAATGTGTTATCACTGCACTCTTATGTCTTATTTCATCTGCTGGTGAGTGCACCAGGGCCTGCTACTTAAAAAACATTTTCATGGCATTGTGTAAAGATGGTTACTGGAGAGTCAAATTGCTGGGTGTTCAACTTGAAATGTCACTTCAATGTGCTGGAGAGGATGCCAGGAAAAGGCCAAGCATGTGCCTTGTGGCAAGTATCTCTGAAACATTGTGACATCTTGGCTGCCATATCACATGATTATTGTGATCAGGACAGGCTCTCATTCATTCAGCAACCATAGGGCATCTGCTTCCACCAACATCTATTCTCCATTCAGACGGCTCTTGTGCGCCTCATGACACAGCTCATACTGCATACTACATCATCATACTTATGAGCGATAATTATGGGCAAGCAGTGTCATTGCCGAACCGTGTTACTTAGTATTCAAATAGCTAGCGGACCATGTTTGGTATGCTGGTTGAAATATTTGTGGGGTAAAAGAAGATGGCATTGAAAAGCTATGTTTGCATATCATACCTATCTCAAAATACTACCTAAAATAGAACATCCTGCAGGTAAATTAAGACAAATTGCACCATGTACAAAGGAACACAGTTAACTTGGGGTGCAGACTGCCAAAAATATATTACATCATACTTTTCCACATGTGAGGTTATTGCTTCAGGGAGGTCTGAGTTTGATGCATATGATCACGTGGTTCAAAGCTTTTGTCAATAGACAAATCATTTAAAGAATTGGAGTTCATAGTACAGGAATTTGAAGTTCAGCATACTGATGTAACTGTGACTGGCCACCTGGCACAGTGGATAGCTTTTGTGTAAACTAGCTTGAGGGGTCCCTTATAATAACCCAGGGCTAGCTCAGGCTGCAAAAATGCATGTATGATGTAGCCACAGGAAATAATTCAATACATGCACTCTAAATTGAGTGGTCAGTGTTTGGCACCCAAATGCAAGCAGTTTCATGATATAGAAGCCAATGTTTGACTGAATTATCATGTTGAGAAGTCAAATTGGGGTGAAAATGCTAACAAATTTTGTACTGCAAAAGTAATCTTTGAAATGATAATTTGGCACATATGAGTTTACTTTAGCTCACTGATGATGCATAGACATGAAGATTAGACATCCCCCACAGTGGATCAGTATTTAACATATGAGGGGCCAGGCACACCTTAGATTGATCCACAGCTCCAGGGCTTGAAAGTATTGTGCAATTGAGTTGTGTTTTATCTGGGGTACATTGCTTCCACACTGAAAAGGATCATTGTGAATGTGCTCCACATAACACAGCTCATTGTTTTCTCTGCAGTCTCCTGGATATTCAAGGTTATTCAAGTGATATTCCAGGCTATTATGCAACAAATCCTAAAGTGCCTGAGTAGTAGTAAGTTGTGCCTGAAACCACTTGCACACAGTTTTAATTCCTTGAATCATTGGCTCTCTGTGCCCAAAAAGTAGTGGTGACTGTGTGCCAAACTTCAGAGCAGCTCTTTGTATGGTATACATGCTCTGTAATTGCTGGTTCAATCTGGTGTTTGCTGAATATATTCAGCACAACCTGATTTTATTTTGTTTTGTTAGTCTGACCAGAGACACCTTCTTTGTTATGTAAGTTACCCATGTGACAGTAAAACTGAGCTAACTGGCATGCAAATGACTGGGTGTGAATGAGTGTCAGCAAGTGCAGAAATGTAAAAATATGTTTGTTAGGATGGGTTTTGCTCAGCAAACTTGAGGCATCCAATCCCTTAATATTGCTGTTCAGTCTAGTATGTGCCCATTGAGATGAAACCAAAATCGACTGGGATGAGGAGGCTTTGAGCTGGTTGATGTAAAATTAGTTTGTTTAACAATTGGTTTGAATATGCAATGAGTGTCATGTTCATTTGTGTTGAATGGATCTTGTCAATTGGAGTAAACCAAATCAAAAATGCCAATAGCAAAATAAATTTCCCTCTCCTGAGTCTTCCTGTGTGTTCAGTTGAGGAGGAACATCATATGTTGCCTTGATCATCAAAAGATATACTTGAATGTAGCATTCCATATTTATATGGGGTTTTGAGCTGAAAATGCCTTGAAAACATTTCAATGCTGTACACAATCCTTCCCCTCTTTAGGCTTAAGCTCCTGTAGTTTCTGAGCTACATGCTCACAAAAATGGGAAAGGTATATTGGACATTTCAAAGTCACCTTGGCATTCATTCAAGGTATCCATTGAAAGGTGTTTCAGCATTTCAAAGTCACCTTGGCATTCATGACAATAACATCATTCAAGTCCTGCCATTTCATAAGCCACAGTGATCAAGGTATAAAAAAAAACTGCTGAAGCATTCATATCTGGCATATGTGAGTGAGATTTCCAGATATAGCTGCTGCCAACTGGTTCTCAACCAATGTTGTGCAAAATGTAGGTATAATGACACAATTAAAACATGAAGCATCTAGGAGCATGTTTACTAAACATTGAATTGTGCTTTGTAGGGCTGTCTCCTCCACTTAAAAAGTATACTGATAGTTAAAAGTGAGTTTGTTTCATTTCAAATGAACACTTCCTTCAATTTTTTAAGTGTGGAACATTCCCTTTAATATGGGCACTTCTGGCACATTAGTATGGCAGTTGGTGCCTAACCATGTATTCAATTGAACTAAAACATCATTATTTTGGGAACTAGGCTGTGTCACCCTGTGCAGGAATCAGAATAGAGGAACTGATTGCTTAATGGATTAATCTGTTAAATGAGGTTAAGCTTCCTTGTGTGGAGAAGAAACATGTTATTTGTCAAGGCCAGTTGGACCCAGACCACAGAGGTCTGACATATGATATTGGGCACAATGTTTTCTTGTACCTGTCCCAGTAAGGCCAGTACATGTGTTTGGTGTAATCTTGTTAAATGGAATGTTCCATTTTTGAACATATAGTAAGCATAAAATGTGATAAAACAAACCCATTCATAACCTTTGGTGCACCTTCAAGCAGAAAAGACTACTCTAAACACCATAAATACTCTGTTTAGTAAATATGCTTCTGGATATTTCATCGCTGGATTATATCATAGCACCTTGCACAACATTGTTCAACAGCCAGTTGACAGTCATTATGTCTGTAAACTGTGCTTACAAACACCAGATATGGAGTTGACCATCACATTTCTGGGAGCCTTGATAGCGGCATAGCTTATGAAATGACATGATTTGAATGACATTATTATGATGCCATGAATGCCAAGGTGACCTGGAAATACTGTCCCTGAAATACTTTCCCCATTTTCTAGCTCAGAAGCTAGAGGGGCGTAGGTCTTAAGAAGGGCAGGTTGTTCACTGAACCAGGTCTTTAAGGTGGCTATTCCAACTCAAAACCCCACATAAATGTGGAACACTCCCTTTAAGAGTATGCATTGGGATGGAACAGAGATATAAGAAGAGGGTTGGGGGGAGGGTTGAGCTGTTTGTGCACTTATATGGAAATGGAAAATCATGACCCCAAAGAGATTGCAATTTTGAACCTGGGGTGAGTAGAGTGCTTTTGCAATGCCTAAGAACTCATCTGAGTCTGTTCCTAATGTAGGTATACATCTTCAAAACTAACACATGACAAATGCGGATCCCATTTCCATGTTTTGCACCTGGCTGATGGTAAGTGTCATCTGATGAATGGGCTAATTATGCTGATGACCACCAAAACACATACTCCTTATAGATAGGACCATCACTGATAACCCTCACAGACATTACTGATGCTTTTTAACTGTAATTTTGTATATGTGTTGCATAGAAGCATGCAGCAAACTATAAATCTCACATATCACCAACAAACTGGTCTCAGCACTCATTGTTTGGAAAAAGGTCAGGAGGGTCCTCCCCTGTGTCAAACAGCAGCAGGTCACCTCTTGGCCAGATGCAACCTGTATCAGCCCATGACATCCAGTGTTTATCAATTTTGTTTTCTGCTTCTATCACTTTCTTACCCATCTTTTGACCCCTTGCAAGTGGTAGGGAACTGGAGCTGGAACATCACTGGATCCCATGGTGACCCCCACAGCAGTGGTGACCTCTTCATCAGTTGTTAAGGAGATGCAAAATGATTTCTTTTTTCTTTCTCTGGCCTTACTTTTGTAACATGGGCATATGTATCTACCTTACATTCTGTGATGATGTGCCTGATGTCATCTGGTTCTCAGTCTGGGCAACCTTCTGATCCAGCATTCACTGATCCTATTCACTGTCAACTTATAATCTGAGGAACCCCCCCCCCCCCCACAAAATCCTGAGGTCTCAGATACATTCTCAGCACAAACATCAGAAGAACAGGGTCTTTGTGTAATTGCTGATGCTTGAATGCGCTGCATGTGAACCAACCAGTGATGTACCAGTATCTACATGTAATGAAAAATACTGCATACTAGTGCAGGTGTCAAACCATATGCATGATACTGGGGTTGCCAATGTTATGCAATAGACTATGCATCACCAGGGATTGTGTTTAAAGGGAATATTTGACATTTAAAGGCATTAAAACAAGTTTCAGATTTGATGAAATAAGCTTGCTTATGAGTATACTTTTAAGAGCAAAGGACTTCTCTAGGTAGCACAATTGCTCTGTTTAGTAGATATGCTCCTCAATATGTCATTTTTTATTGTATCTGGAAGTTTTTTCTTGGATGCCAGATTTGAACAAGTAGACTTCTATTTATTATTGACCTTGATCAGCACATGTCTAATATAATGACAGGATTTGAGTGATACTTTTATGATGTGGCATATTCCCAGGTGGCCTGGAAATAGTTTCCCTCAGGTAATCTTCACATCTTGGCAGGCATGTAACTCATGAGCTAGATTGGTTTGGGTCTTAAGAAGGGCAAGGCTGGGAACTTTGCTGAATGATCTTCAAGATGACTATTTCAATTCAAAGCCCCATACAAATGTGGACCATCCCTTTAACAAGAGCTAGTTGATGTCTTTTATGCCTGTTTGGATTGTCCTGCATGTGTCAAACTCTCTGCTAGTCATTACCTATCTTTTTTACTTCTGGTATCAAGAACACTAACTTCCCAGCACCATTTCACAAGGAACTGGCAGTGAAGTCCGATTTCCCTGAAATGCATTACTTTCCGGCCTGGGAAAGGATGCTGGGCTACTTCTCTCACCATCAACTATTAGGTACAGGTTTGAGCATCAGTTTGTTAATGTGGGTGCTACATGTGCTGTGCTGAAGCGAACAGTTGGCGTCCAGTTAGTTTTGTCTGTTTTTACTGCTGCGCAGCCAGCATCGCAGTTGTGACTGTATATCCCAGCACATAATCATACATACTTGTCCTCAATCATATCCAGCAAGTTGCTCGGCTGTATGGCATGCAATTGGATGGTCGGATGTGTGTTGTTTCCGTATTTGACGTCTCTTTTGCGTCTTTCTATGGATTGTCACATATTTTTAATGCAGCTTAATTTAGGCACTGTGGTCAAAAGCATACCGCCGTTTTTTGTGATGATGTGCCTCCGCTGGTCCCTAAAGTGGGGATTCCTCATTTATATGAGGTTTGGAACTTAAATAGCCAACTTGAGCGTCTTCGTCACTGGGGCTTTACAACGCGCTCAGCTGATGAGGCTATATGGCGTCGCCTGCCTCACACCTTGGCAGGAAGGGCGGGTACCGCAGGGAATCGAACCCCTTACCTCTGGTTTCCAATATGCCCAGTTGTTAAAGCGGACACAACCACTGCGCTACTGGCACCATATCTAGAAGATTCCACCTCATCTTGAAGATCATTTGGCACAGTTCAGCCCTTCTCAACACCTAGAGCCTTCTGGTTTCTGAGCTACGTGCCCTCGAATATGTCCAGAAATTTTGTGGAGACTATTTTAAGGCCATCTGAGCATCTTTGACGCTATAATGGAAAGTATGATGGCACAATCAAACAATGATGTATTGTGGAGCATATCACTAAACCAAGAAATTGCACCACAGAGCAACTTTTCCTCCAGCTAGTGAAGTATGTGAAGATCTAGGGTGATATTTTTTCAGCACATCTGACGCATGCTCCACTGCCTTGAAATGTGGAACATTCCTTTAATGCCTTGTTTCATTCTGCCCACATGTTACCTGTTATGAAGACCAAATATTTTGAAACCATGTTATGTATATATATATATATATATATATATATATATATATATATATATATATTACATCTATGTTACATCAAACTTTGACAATTTGTACATTCTGAACTCTAGGTATTGTGGGCATGTGCCCATTGTCCATTGCATCCACAAACTCCTGGCATTGACCACACTGCAAACAATGCATAGTTAGCAGGGACAATTCCAGTGTTGTGGTGCCATCTACAAGGGGTAAAACTGAAGAATTTGACACCTTGGGTGACAATTCTTTTTTATAAATTGATGTGCTCCTCTTATCTAGAATGTTATGTTTTTTTTTTTACTCAAGATTGTTTATTTACACAAATATTTGTCATGCATTTTGCTTCCTAGGAAGTTGTTTCATGGTAAAACAGATTTGTGCTGAATGTGGAGATGATCAGGTTGGTTTCAGCTTTGATACCACATTTTAAGAAATGCAGTGTTATCCTAGTGTCCATTAGGACCAGAATGAAATCAAGTCAGACACTATACAGAATATCTGCTATCTGTGAATTTCTTCCCAAAATGGTATGATATTTCTTGATTAGAAGTAATTCCAGGGTAGTTATCAAACAGTTTTTGAAAGCCATGAAGCGGTTTGTATATTGTGGGCTTCAAATAGTGATACTGGGGTCAGATCCCAGTCCTGGACCTTAAGACACCATTTCAAATTTGTGTCATGGAATGGTCCAAGATAAAGGATCTGTTTAGAAGTTTTGCTGATCACTGTTTGGAATCTTGGACGTATGGTAGAAAAGTGTCAAATGATCTGTGGTCCAGGATTTTTTAAAAAAAATTTTTAAAGGTCCCCTAAGATCGGATAACCTTTTTGAACCGTCGGATGTTCCTTCATAATCTGGGATTGTATTGGGGATCTAGGCAAATATGTGAATCAAGAGAGGTGTCATAAATGTCCTTGCATCCTGAAATGTAGAGCATTATCAAACACAATATTCTGAGGCCATGTTGCAAACATTACAAGGACTGCATGCATCAGTGAAGAGATCACAAATCCAAGTTTATTGATGTGTTGGTGGTGCGATTAGTTTGCAGTGACTTGATGTGGTGTGTGTACTCAGGGTCCGCGGATAAGGCGAGGATCTCCGCCAAGATGCCGATCAATCTGGCTGGCGCCGAGGAGGGTGTCAAACAGCCTCCCATCCTGGGCTCGGGTGAGCAGTGTAGCGGTGTGGTGCGCCACTGGTGAGCAGAGCAAGGCTGACCTAACTGCAGCGGTCTTGCCTCACCGCACCGCTGAACACGTCAGGCTGGGCTGGGGCAGTGGGAGGGCATTCATCCAAACCAGCCTGATGCTGAAGCACGTATCGGGCATGCTCTCGGCAGGTGAAGAAACGAGTAGTGTTTGTACTGAGAACAGGGTTTGGCGCAAAAGGACCATCACAGCTGGCTCGCCCTGAAACTCCAATTATTACCGTCCAAGCATGTTTTTCATGCAGACGTCATTGGTCCAAAGCGCACACACGTTTTCACATTCGCGATTAAAGCCATTGCACACACATGGCCGCAACGTATGCAGTCGTAAGACGGTTGTTAGCAGCCAGGGAGCATAAGGGCTCGTTGGCTGACGCGAAGGCGACTCGTCCCGAGGCCTGTTCCGTCCCGTTCTCTCCGTTCCGTTCGTGCTGCTGCCACTGAGCGTCCGGTGCGCCTGGCGCGCGCGTCCGCCGTTGGCTGGGCCGCCTGAGTGACGTCCGGCACGCGCTCGTGTCGGGCAGGTCGGCGCAAAGGTCGGCCGCGCAAGCTGCTGCTGCCTCCCTGCTGCTCGGTCGTGCCGCCAGCCAAGGCCACGGAACTCATCCACAGGACGAGGAAGGCCCGCACCCACAACGCCATCACCAAGTACGTGCTGACGCCGCCTGTATTAGTCAGGCCAGATGTGGTGCTCCTCCGGTTGATGACACCGTTGTTGGCCCAATCGGTCCAGTTTGTTATGTCCTTATCTCCGTGATCGCTGGGCGGTGTCCATCCTGTGACTGCTGTGGCTATTGGTGCTCAGTCTGTGCCTGCTGTGACCAGTGGTGCTCAGCTTTTGACTGCTGTGGCCATTGGTGCTCAGTCTGTGACTGCTGTGGCCATTGGTGTTCAGCTTTTAACTGCTGTGACCATTGGGTGGGGTTCAGTCACTTAGCTCTGGCGATGTGTGGTGCTCAGAATGTGGGCTCTGTGGTTGATGGGTGGTGCTCAGTCTGCGGGCTCTGTGGTTGATGGGTGGTGCTCAGTCTGTGGCTTTGGTTTACTGGTGGCGCTCAGTGTGTGGCTCTCGCTGGAGGGTGGTGCTCAATCTGTGGATTCTGGCTGGTGGATGGTTCGCAGTCTGAGCTCTGTCTCTGATAGGTACTGCTCAGCTTATGAACTCTGTGTTTGTTTAGTGGTCCTTAGATGTGGAATCTGGTTTATGAGTGATGCTCAGTCTGTGAGCTCTGGCCGATGGGCGGTGTCGATTCCGTGAGCGGCCGGTGGCCTGCTGACCTCGTGCGGCGTCCGGCCGGTTACGGCTGTGGTGCTCTGTTCCAGCTACTTTTCGCCGCGCCGTCCGGACGCCGGCGCCGTACTGGAGGCGGCCGAGTGTCCGCCGCTGGCCGGGCCGGCTTGCACGCCGCCCGATCAGGGCGCCCGCCGCCGCCGCTCCTGTCTGGCGCTCGCCGAGGACGGCTGCGGTGCGTGTGCCTCACATGGCGGCAGCCGGGCAGGCCTGGGCGGCGTCTCCGTCGCTCCTGGGCGCCTGCCGAGAACGTGACTCACATGCAGACGGACAGGATTGTTTCGACTGCCGCTGCCGCGTGGCACATTTAGAGGCTTGGATTAGCATTTCAGCCAGCTGAAACTGCATTCTGGCACTCCATTTTTACGGGCTTTTTCTTGGGCAAGGCTGATATAAACTGGCAGATAATCAGAAGGCTGTGATATCCCTCTTTCTGGTCATTTCTGCAGCATGAGTCATAGTTTTTTCTTACCCTTCCACCATCTGCAAAACACTTCAGTTCATATGTGATTGTTTATTTACTTACCGACTGCACATTTCCTGCCAGACACTTCAGTCCTTTTGGACTTACTATCCATCAAGTAGCTGAGCACGGCGGGCGATATGCCCTCCCACTCTCTCTGCAGCACTGCCTCCAGCTCCGAGGTCCTCTTGCAGGGGTTCATCTAGTTGAAGTGTGCCCTCGGGATGTTCCGCATATTCTCGAAAGGGTTCAGGCAGAGGGAGTTGCCCAGTCACGTCCTGTTGTCCCAGAGCCACGGGAGGGTCGCTTGGGTTCAGGCAGAGGGAGTTGCCCAGTCACGTCCTGTTGTCCCAGAGCCACGGGAGGGTCGCTTGGGTTCAGGCAGAGGGAGTTGCCCAGTCACGTCCTGTTGTCCCCGAGCCACGGGAGGGTCGCTTGGCACCGCGCTGGGGCTCTCTGTGCCGCGTGCCGTGTGTCCGGTTCAAATCCCAGAAATACCAAGGTGATTAATCGGGTTGTTACGCGTTCAAGGCTGAAAGCCGAACGTCACCCAGCCCTTCTAAAGACTTCATAACACCTCACGACGGGTGAAGAATTAACCGGCCGAAACGTTGCGTACATACTAATACATCAGACGGGGACGATGACCGGAATAACCGTTCCACCTGGGGGCATCCCCTCGGGGGGTAGACCCGAGACCTTAGCGGTGGTTGGCTGGTGGGATGGCTTCAATCGCCTGGACCAATGATGGCCTCGTCCTTCCTGACCCCGACTCGTGCATGCCCCCCTGTGTTACGATGTATGTGTGCATGCATGTATGATGTTTGCTGCGATATTCTGGCAAAGCTCCCTTTGTGAGGAAAACAGAAGCGGCTAGATTCGGCGGTATGCTTACGCTGATGTGGCACGTACTACCACTTCAAGCTTTTGGGCGTGACCCGCAAATATGGGTAATCGGACGTCCCGTTGCACATGTCTCAGAACGCATAACAATTAGGCTAACGTGCGTGCCATTGTTGTTCTACACGTCGCACGGGTGCACACGTCTAAGGTCAAGAGTGCCATGGTTTCGTGTCAAAGCGTGATTTGTTTGAACAGCGCAATACACCTTTGCCATCATCCTGGCGCGCAATCCCGCTGCGGACATACTTCCCTGTTATCCTCAGTCTTGCTTCATCCTGTGTCCTCGCGACACCCCGCTTGTCCGGGGCAGGCTGCGTGCATCAACCGCGAGTGCGCCGAGAGCCCCGCGGGAAGGGGGACCCGGACCGGGTACCCAGCGCGCATGCGCGGGATAAAGCTCGGCAGTTGGACTCCCAGGCGCACGCAAGTCTGCCCCACTGTTAACCATTTTCCTTCATCACATAGCCCTGAAATGATGACTTCTGGTCGAAAAGGCTGTAATCTAAAAACGTAACCCCTCTGCGGGGGAAGCACATTTCAGTACGTGTGAGTGGCGTGAGGTGTTGCGTCTCACCTTCATCGAGCCCATCCGGTGTCATTCCTGACGAAGCTTCCCTCTCTGTGGACCTCTGGCATCAGACCCTGTTTGGTCCGTGACCTCGCCTCCCTCTGTCCGTCAGATGGGCCGCTGCACACCAGACCCTGTTTGGTCCGTGACCTTTCCTCCCCTGCCCGTCAGATGAGCCGCTGCACGCCAGACCCTGTTTGGGCCGTGACTTCGCCTCCCTTTGTCCGTCAGATGAGCCGCTGCACACCAGACCCTGTTTGGTCCGTGACCTCGCCTCCCTCTGTCCGTCAGATGAGCCGCTGGGCACGAGCTCGTCTGGGCCGCCGGAGGAGGCCGTGCTGGAGGCGGCGGCTGCGGGCGCACCGCGCACTCCCGTCAGCCCGCACAAGATCCAGTCGCTGGACTGCCAGCCGCTGCCAATGCGGCTGGAGTCGCGGCCGCGCCGACCGCCCCTCTCGCCGGCGCTCATCCTCAACAAGCCCAAGCAGGCGCGCAAGGCTGCCTCTGCCAAGGCCGGCCGCAGCAAGCGGCCGTGAGTACAACTGGGGTGGGCGGTGGCGCTGGTCACAGCCGGGAGCGGCAAACACTGGCGCCGGTGGGCGGGAGAGCTCGAGACTTGTCCGACCTCGCCTTGGCGCTCCGGTTAGAAATGAGGCGTGTTTCTGCTTGGCTGTTCATTCGTGCACTTATTTCGTTGACGTGTGACATCGACGTGATGTAGAGCTCTTGAAAGCACGCGTTGCTATGCCGACCGTTTCCACACTGATGGCTCTCGAATGTTGGTGTGGCTTCACCTGGGGACCTTTGCTATGCTTTTCATTTGGTAAGATTTGGTGAAGATTAAAGATACATAAGATGTGGCAAGCGAGTAGGAACGCTGAACATGGTGCTCCGGTGTTTCCGTCGAGTTCGTCGGAAGATGGTGTCGCCCCGGATACCGTCCCACGCCGTAACAGGGTCTCGGGTCACTGACGAACGGCGGCCTGGACCCCTGCCGGATGAGGAGCCTGTGCTAACCCTGTGTCATTGGGGCTGTACGACGCACTCAGCGGCTGAGGATATACGGCGTCGCCTGCCTGTCACCCTGCCAGGAAGGACGGGGACCGTGAGGAATCAAACCCCGTACCTCTGGTTTCCCAGACGCACAGTGTTTAACGCAGACGCGTTAAGTACTGCACTATCGGCACCCTTCCGTGCCGGCCCTGACGACGCCTTGTGTTCTCAGCAGCGGCGGCGGTCCGGCCGGCGGCGCCGCACTGCCGGCCGCCGCCGCCGACGGCAATCACAAGCTGACCGACTACTTCCCGATCCGGCGGAGCAACCGGCGCACCAAGCGGGCCCTGGAGGAGGAGCGCTCCTGCCAGATTCGCAGGCGGCTCGCCAACGACTGCGACGAGGGATTGGAGGTGGGACGCTGGCCGGCCGCCGCCGCCCTAGGCGCGGCCAGGCCCGTCTCTTTGGGTCCTTTGAATATAATTGTGATGCTTCCCAGCCGTCCAACGGACCAACGGTGACTGGTTGCGGGCAACGTGTTTATCATAAGGAGTGTGCCAGCTGCTGTCAGCCGACAGCTGCCTGTAATCGTTCTTGTTTTGCCTGACATCATTTCTGCCGGGTTGCTGATTAACCTCACTGACTACGCGCGCCGAGGCCCTGATCTTCCAGACCTAGGGGTCTGTCGTCCCCTCCCCCCCATATGTTGCCACCTGCGTCTGTACCCAGGGACGCCGCCCGTCCGGCTCTGCTCTGTTTTGACGTCACCCACCTGTTGTAAGCCGCCGTCCCTTCGCGCTCGCCTGCCCCCGTCTGACCTGACCTGACCCGACCTGTCTCCTCTCGTCCCCGTCAGGTGGCGCTGTTCCCGGGCAAGGGGCGCGGCGTGGTGACCACGCGACCCTTCGCTCGCGGCGAGTTCGTGGTGGAGTACGCTGGCACGCTGGTGGACCTGGAGGAGGCCCGCCGCCGCGAACGCGTCTATGCCCAGGATCAGAACACAGGCTGCTACATGTACTACTTCAACTGCAAGGACCACAACTGGTGGTGAGTGGCGCGCCGGTGCCGGAGAGTCTGCTCAGGTTGGAAGCAGCATGGTGCAGCCTCGAAGGGGGGGGGGGGCTGTCATTGCTGGAGTTGAACGTCCTGTCAGCCGCCGATGGTCGGTCGTCGTGCCCCTTTGTGTTTTAAGCGGGGAGAGGCTGCAGGTCCCGGTCGAAAGACCGCGAGTTGCGACTGGGGAAACCCCTGTCCTGCCCCGTTTGATGTCAAAAGACCACGAGTTGCTCTGGAGCAAAGCCCTGACCTGTCCCGTTCGATACCGGAAGACTGCGAGCTGCCACTAAGGAAACCCGCTCACGTCAGATGTGGTGCGAAGATAACCTATGTTACGTGCGTGATGTCCGCTGCGCCTGGTATGAACGAGAATAACTTTGCGGGGATGCGTCATTGTGGGGTGGACTCGAACGGGGTCACAGTCATGGCGATCGTGTCCGGCCAGAGCGACATGGCGGCTGACAACTCAGAGGGATGCCGGTCTTCGAACCGTTCTTGATACTGGAGGACGCTATGAACTGGCAGGATATGGTGGCTTGTCCAGAGTGATTGAAGCTTATGTATATGCAGACAGGTCTGATGTGGAGGTGTTTGATAACATAGATGGCAGCATTTAGTCATAGATGAGTGTTTTGTAGAACTTTTTGCTCTATTGGGACGCTCCGTGGTTGAGCCGGTGAGTTAGGCCTTCTTCATGTGCTCAGTGTAGTGTCACCGGTGCCCGCATAAAACGTAGCTGAATTTGGCTAAATGAGCGCTCGGAAATGTCAACGAAAGTTGCATTCAGGAGAAAATAACAGGCGGTTTGTGATGCTGCAGTGCTATGCGGGCTGGGCGTCGGACCTTCGTCGACCGAGGGTTCTAATGTGGGGCAGCCGCTCCGCGCCCCAGCTGTGGTCCTGGGCCTGTCGTCACCGCGGCCAAGGGTTCTGATCTGAGGCAGCCGCTCGGCGCCCCAGCTGTGGTCCTGGGCCTGTCGTCACCGCGGCCAAGGGTTCTGATCTGAGGCAGCCGCTCCGCGCCCCAGCTGTGGTCCTGGGCCTGTCGTCACCGCGGCCAAGGGTTCTAATCTGAGGCAGCCGCTCCGCGCCCCAGCTGTGGTCATGGGCCTGTCGTCACCGCGGCCAAGGGTTCTGATCTGAGGCAGCCGCTCCGCGCCCCAGCTGTGGTCCTGGGCCTGTCGTCACCGCGGCCAAGGGTTCTGATCTGAGGCAGCCGCTCCGCGCCCCAGCTGTGGTCCTGGGCCTGTCGTCACCGCGGCCAAGGGTTCTAGTGTGGGGCAGCTGCTCCGCGCCCCAGCTGTGGTCCTGGGCCTGTCGTCACCGCGGCCAAGGGTTCTGATCTGAGGCAGCCGCTCGGCGCCCCAGCTGTGGTCCTGGGCCTGTCGTCACCGCGGCCAAGGGTTCTGATCTGAGGCAGCCGCTCCGCGCCCCAGCTGTGGTCCTGGGCCTGTCGTCACCGCGGCCAAGGGTTCTGATCTGAGGCAGCCGCTCCGCGCCCCAGCTGTGGTCCTGGGCCTGTCGTCACCGCGGCCAAGGGTTCTAGTGTGGGGCAGCTGCTCCGCGCCCCAGCTGTGGTCCTGGGCCTGTCGTCACCGCGGCCAAGGGTTCTGATCTGAGGCAGCCGCTCCGCGCCTCAGCTGTGGTCCTGGGCCTGTCGTCACCGCGTCTCCTCGAGGGACTTGACGATGAAGGTCGTCAGCTTGTGCTAAGTCTGGCATTCCTGTGGGTCAATCACTGTGTCGCTCGAACCGTACACAATCGGTATCCTGAACCTGTTCAAGTCCGCGCTAATGTGACGGCACCTGACCGCCTTATGCTGTTTGCATTCCACTGCGATATTGTGGGCTGTCTATGGGTGTGTCGTATAGTGGCTGGCCGTCTGTGGGCGTGTCGTGTGGTGACCGGCCGTCTGTGGACGTCGTGTGGTGACTGGCCGTCTGTGGACGTGTCGTGTTGCGGTCGGCCGTCGTCTGTTGGCGTGTCGTGTGGTGCCCTACCGTCTGTGGACGTGTCGCGTGGTGGCCTACCGTCTGTGGACGTGTCGTGCGGTGGCCGGCCGTCCGTTTGGCGTGCCGTGTAGTGTCCGGCCGTCTGCCTGCGTCGGCGTCCCCCCCCCCCCCCCTTGGCTCGGATGGTCGTCGGCTCTGACGGCAGGCCGCCTCTCGGTAGCATCGACGGCACGCCGGAGACGGCCCGGCTCGGCCGCCTGGTGAACCACAGCCGGCACGCCAACAACTGCGTGACGCGCTCGATCGAGGTGGACGGCCGGCCGCGGCTCGTGCTGCTCGCCAGGAACGACATCGCCAAGGGCGAGGAGATACTCTATGACTACGGAGACCGCAGCAAGGAGAGCCTCGAGCACCACCCCTGGCTGGCTTCGTAGTTTGCCGGCGCTCGCACCGGCCACCCATCACTGCCAAGCACTGGCGGCGCGGCTCGCCCTAGCCGCCCGGCGCTGCCTGCCCGTTTGTCCGTCTGTGCGTGTGAATGTGTATGCGCGCGTCCGTGCGTGTTAGGGCGTGGGTGTGCGGCGTCAGCTGTAGAGCGGCGCCGTGCCGTGACGGCCGGCACTTGCCATTGTGTACACTCCGGTGACGGCTGCTGCGATCGGACTGATCAGGCAGATGAATGTGTGCGGTCGAGCGGCTGCAGCGGCGGCCTCTCCGTTGACTTCACTCAGCGCCGGCAGGCGGCGCTGGCGACTTGGCCCGCGTTCTATGCGGCCGCCTCGGTGCCGCCGCTGTATCCAGCCGCGCTCAGGAGGCCGATGCGGAGTGCGGCCGAGCGCCCCGGGACCGCGCTACTGGTGCCCTCAGCGGCAGTGTCGCCGGCCTCTGATCGGCCGCCGCTCCGCCCGGGACGCGACCGGGGCCAGAGCCGTGCCCCACTCAGGATTCTGTGTAGTGACGTTGGTGCCGCGCTACCCGGACGCTGCGGCCGCAACCGGCCGACGCCCGCTCTGCCCGAGGAGGAGACCGCGGCGCCCGCCCGACCGACCGGCCGGCCTGGCGCCGCCCGAGCTTGTGACGCCCGAGCCGGCGAACTGGCGCTGTGTTATGCCCGAAGACGGCATGTTAAACGCGGCGGTAACTGGGGCCTGGTCCCAGCCAACGTCTGGCATTACCGTAGTGCTGTGGTTTACTGCGTTGCGAGAGACTGACGGTGGAGCAGGCGTTCTCGCCAATTCCGATCAGTTCCAGGTGCCGCCTATGTGCGCGACGATCCACTATGCGAACGCTGGCGTTTGCCGCACAGCTCAAGTATTACCTACCATGCCTCCTTGTTCTTGGTCTTGTTATTACCTGTCGACGCCTCGCATTTTTGTGTGGTATTAGGTCCCGCGGACTTCGCGGCCTGAGCGCGCGCCACGTAGCGTGACATGTTTTACTGGCAGGTGGGCGATGTTTCGTTTCTGGCGCGAAGACGGTTGCGCGGCTTTGGACTGTTTTCGTATTGTTTTCCCTTCAGCTTTCCCTCGTCATCTTTTGTCTGCACTTGTTTCCGCGTGCGTTTGCTGCGTGTACAGTTTGGTGGTTCTGTCTTAAGCGATAAGTTTGCGCGGCTGCCTTGCGTGGCGGTGGCGCCCTGTTCCTGCCGGCGCTGCTCCGCCGGTGCCTGTACCACTGCTGGCGGGGCGGCACCTGTATCTGTGTACGGCGGGCGGGACCGAGGATGTGCCGCCGATGCCCGGAGGTCGATCCCGGGTCTGAGCGCCGTTGGGGCCGACCCCGCTGTGACCCTGCTGACCCGCGGGCGCAGCGACGCTCGGGCCGCTGCGCACACCCAGGCGGCACCCACCGCTGTCGCCCGAACCATGTAAAGTATTTCCATTCGTAGAAGTTCAAATACATTTTAGCCAGCTGTTTGCCGGGCGATCGCGGAGAAGCTGTGAGGTGGTAGCGGAACTAATAAACTAGTGGCGGCCGGTGAAGTATTGGCGGATCTCGTCAGGGTGCCGATAGTGTAGCGGCTAACCCGTATGCGTTAGCCGCTGTGCGTCTTGGAAATCGGAGGTACGGGGTTCGATTCTCCGCGGTGCCCACCTTTCCTGCCCGATTGAGAGGCGTGGGATGCCACAAAGCGTCAGCAGCTGGGTGCGTCGTAAAGCTTTATTGACGGCGGCGGAACGCGTCCGGTCAGGCTTCCCTGTCTGCGGTGGCTTAGCGCGGAGCACCGGCGTGTTATCTGCTGACGCGACTGACTTGTGGACAGAGAAGATCGCCGTTGTTGATAGAGACTATGCCTGTAAACAGCGGGCACATAGAGCAAACAGCAGCGAATCATCCTGCACCTCCGCGCTCGGCTCGGTGTGCCGGCACCCCGTCCTCCGTCCCGGTGACCCGTCTTGACCATGTCCACACGTTATTGATCGTCCCATTATTCTGGTGGAGATGTAGGTATGGCGCTGGCGGGGTTTGAGGAGATTCTGAACCCTAAGTCCAGACATTGAGGGTGGACAAGTGTCCTGACTCTTGTTGCATACACCGGGGTACATACTAGTCGGGAAGGCTATGGAATATCCGGACGGTTACGCTGTATCGATAGCACTGCCCATCACCCGAGCGCCGTGGGCCGACAGCGGGCCAGGGATGGCCGCAGAAGGGCAGAGCAGTTCTGATGCTCTGTCCAGCCTGAGGGTGTCGGCGGACGGGCTGTCCCAATCTGTGGGTGTCAGCAGACGGATTGTCCCAGTCGAAGGGCGTTTACCGATCTTAAGTGTCAGCGGACGGACACCAATGGGCTGCCCGCATCATGAACATTGGCGGGAGCACATTTCGGAACGCTGCCTGAAAACTCAGGCGTGACCCTGGTTGGGACGCTCGACACAAAACGCAGTAACCAGCTCCGTGTTTCAAGCTACCGTACAAACGGTTACACCCCGGCCCGGCACACATCACGCATATTGCCCCCGCTACGCGACGACACAGGTATAAACCTAGGCAGTGCGACCACCAGATTATAGCCACTTAATCGTCTCACTTTATCCCAATGCTCCTGCATACCTGCCACAACATAACCTTAAAATCAGCTACCCGTACGTATTCAGGCAATTGCTTCACTGCCAAAGTCATGCGCACTGCCCAAGAGGCTGGGGTTGAAGCTCCATCACGAAGTTACTGCTTTGGCGAGGAAAAAACATAAAGCAACAATATACCCAGCTCATTTCCTTTAGACATGTCCTTGAACGGTCATAGATGTGTCATTCCAAAAATTGACAATCCATCTTGTTCGAGGAGTTTTCTCTGAAAGTGTCACCCATTTGTGGTTCCTTGGCTGAAACGCAGCGAAGGGCCGTTTCATACTGGGCCCCTGACTGACAGGGTCTTTCTGTTGCTTCATTGTGGAACACTACATTGTCATTCTTTGTACCTCCTTTCGTTGTCATAGGCATCGACCAGCGCAAGGGGCTATCTGGGTCGGAGTCCCGTCCCTGGTCAGCAAATGAGCCCCTGGCCGACTCGGGGCCCATTGCCGACACATGCTGCTTGTTAGCATTGAGTATTCCTAACCGACATAGAGGCCCCTTATGATTTCAGAGGCCGAACAATGCGAGAGGCCTCCATTGGCAATCCCGGGCTCCGGTCTTGTTCCCTTACTTGAGAAATGGACCACCCAAGGTCATTTCCAGAGTCCCTTAGTACGTCCTCCGATCAGCTCTTCGGAACCACCGATCGGCCCTCTGATCGTTGTACCCAAGGTGCCAAAAGGACCTAGGCGCGGGGAAGGTACGTACCCCTATGTTGCCTGTGTCCCTGCCCCTTGTGCCATCTGTCTGCGCCCTGGTGGTAGCGGTGCGGCGCGGTTGTAAACCAAACGCGTTATTAGTGTTTACTGAACGCGGTAGCAGACGGACGGAAGTGACGAGCGACCAGTCGCAGAGCCGATTCTGCTGCCATCTGTTAACAAGTTTTTAAATCACATCGTGCGATCGCTACTTGCCGCGGCAGGACTGTAGCTGCCACCAGCATGATCATACGTAGCATGTATTCATTACGAATTGGTTGATGCTCATGAATTAATGGTTGAATTGAGTCGATAGGCTTCATGTCGCAATATTGGCACGAGGATGCAATTGTTAAACACCATCCTCTGTGTTATATCGGTAGTCTCGACATCAAAACAATATGGCTTCAGGAATTCCCAATGGCCAGCCGCAGACGGTTCCAGGACGAGACTGTACGGCACGACAACGCCCTGTGCGCCAATCTTACAGTCTTTCAATCAGTCTTCCAGCTGTCTGAGCTGGACAGCGAGCAGCCCCGAAGCGGTGGCTAACCATGAACTCATGACGCGCCAACAGTGGTGTGAGGGGTGTGTAGCGACCGGACCTCCAGCGGGGTGCAGGGGTCCCTCATGGCCCGGAGGCGCCAATGTGGTTACTGCGTGCGACAAGGCCACTCATGCCGCTCTAGCCTAGCGACTTCAAAATCGATCAAATGTGATCCCGGCTCGCGCCCACGAGCTGACCCAGACCGCGAAGTCACCTTTTGTACTCGGCTGAAATTGCAACTTGGCTTTTGCGCACGCCCCAGACAGAGACCTGAATACAAGATGAGAAGAAACATCATGGACTCCGGTAACGAGTTAAGCGGTGTTAAATCAGGAATGATGGATCTGATATAAATATAAACAAAACAGGATGGAATAAAATTAATTGACTGACTGGATGTCCCTCTCCCAAAACGGGGTAGGTCGAAGGCAACTTCGAACCTCTTCGCGCACGACGGAGGGGAGAGAAGTGATATGAAGTTTGAGTTGTTAAGATGTAACGATTGCACTTTGCTGGCCCGGGAGGCCCCGCCCGACGGTGACGGGCTCGTTGGGGCGGCTCTCTGGCTGTTCAGATCGTGCAGGGCCTTTCCATACAACATGACCTTGTTCTGGGGTCACCTGCCGCCGGCCGTTGTGGCCCCAGGGATGTACAGTGCTCATATCGAGATTGCACTGCTCTGACGCCGAGGATATGGCTTGTCTCTGCGCGCTTTTCTCACGTTCTTGGTGTATACGAACTGCGTTCAGGTGGGCGTCATACCGAACCCCGAAGGTCTTTCTGGAATGATTTCCGAATGGCGCGGCGTAGGCGCGCGCTTAACTTTGCAAAGCTGAAGAGAACCGGGGAGCAGATTTTCTGGCGCAAAAAAATCAGATATACCTTGTAAGGTCGTTGACCTATGGCAGGCCAAGGTCAGGACATGACTGTCAGCGAACGGCATTGGTAGGGAGTGTTCAATGTGATGCAACAGTGACGTGTTAGACGAAGCTATACATATCCGAGATAGTTTCTTGGGTAACAAACCAATTGAATTTAAAATGGCAAGCAGCTCCATTGACCTAGGGTCAGCCAAAAAGGTCATAAGGAGGTTAAAACTAACCTGTTGTTTTACTCGAGTGCTTGGTTTTTGGTGTAGTTTCTGGCATTCATTTCGAATTAATGAATGACAGGGACCGCAACAAACATGCTTCATGATCTTTTTAAAGGTCAGAAAAGGTCAATGATCTAAAATGGTTCCAAATAGTACTTAAATGTTCCTTAAGCAAAATTTTGACTTAGGTCATTCTAGACCAGTTGCCTTCTCTGACCTTTAAAAAGATAATGAAGCATGCTTGTTGCGGTCCCTGTCATTCATTTATTCGAGATGAGTGCCAGAAAGTACCACAAGGCGAACACTGAAATAAAAAGCAGGCTAGTTTAAACCTCGCTTTGACCTTCGTACTTGGCCTTAGGTCAATGGAACTGTTTGTCATTCCTAATTCAATTGCTTTGTTGTCCAAGAAACTATCTCAGGCATGTATGGCTTTATCTATCACTCTACCGTTGCATGACATTGAACGATTCCCGAGGAATGTCTCTCGTTGACAGTCGTGGCCTGACTTTGGCCTGTCATAAGTCAACGACCTCACAAGGTAGTTACTGCCGACGCCGACTGCCGGCGTCGTTAGCTCAAACTTGAGATGGTGTGACCATTAGTGCGCATCAACACGCGTCAGTCAGTACTAGCAGTGAGTGCGCATCGCACGGCTTACGTCAACGTCTACCAGCTGACTGCTGATGTCGACGGGTTATACTATCAAATGAAGTTCATGCTGCCCAATGATCCTGGAGCTTCTTTGTTGTTAACTGGGAGTCTCAACAGCTCCGTTGAGAGCGCGGCGTAGCACCAAAGAGCAAATGCTGCTCTCAACATTCACCAACATTACAACAGAACATACGACACATATAAAACGACGCATGCGACATCTACGAAACCACCAATGTTCATCCCAGCTATCGCCGAGCGATCTCTCTGGTGCATGTCATCAGCAACAATAGTCCTGACGTCCTGCGCAGGGTCTGAAGGCCGCGGTGTTATCGTGGCAGCCCTTGCGATCTCACGCACTGTGTCGCGCGTCTCGATAACCAGCGGGCGTCTATTCTGTTTTGTACGCTATGTTACTGGATTGGCAAAGTTGATGCCGACGCATTTAACCGCCAGCTGTGGCGGACTGATTCGACGCAGGTGTTATATGTTGATGTCCCCTGAAATGGGGTGGCACGCATTCAAGCAAATAATATTGCAGCGGTTAAAAACGGTAGCTTCGTTTCCAAGCATGTGTGCCAGGCAGTTCACTACCCAGGCTGCGACCACAGAAATCCCGCGGCTGCTGAAACGGCGCCGCGCGGCCCTGGTGGCCATCGACTGGCCCGAGCACGAGCACGTGAACCGGCTGTGCTGCGCGGCTCTCCGCAGCGACTGGCAGCCGCCGGACGAGCGGGAGATAGCCCGGGCCATCGCAGCAGCCTGTGGCGAATGCTCCGGTCCGGGACAGGCCGTAAGCAGCAGCAGTGTAAAGTGCTCATAATCACGCCTGATACCCTTAACGACTATAATGTCGCAGTAGGTCACACCACACCACACCACACATGTGATGTCGAGCACGTTTGAGGTGTAACCGATTGATATGGTCATGTTGCGTGCAGTTCTCCGGTTAGTGAGACCATCCACCTCCATTGGCTCCAATGGAATTGGCATACGCATGCTCCATTTGGGGGGGGGGGGGGGAGAGCTGAGTTCTATGTTAACACGTCATCGGGTGGGGGTCAAATTGACCCCCTTAAAGTTTTTCCAGAATGGTTTCCGAACGGCGCGGCGTAGCCTCACCAAATTTTGCACAGCTGTAGACAATTGAATAGCGGATCGTTAGACATACAAATTTGGATGCACCTTGAGAGGTCGTTGACCTATGGCAGGTCAAAGTCAGACCATGATTTAAGCGAAGCCAATTTCTAGGGAATCGTTCAATCTGATACAACAACGAAGTGTTTGACAAAGCCACACATCTCTAAGATGCTTTCTTAGGCACCAAAAATATTGAATGAGCAAATTACGCTGACCTAAGGTCCGGTATGAAGGTTAGACAAAGGCCAAAACCAACCTGATTTATTACTCTAGGGCTTGCTGAATGGGATAGTTTCTGATGCTCATTTCGAGTTTATTGACGGCAGAAATCGCATAATACATCTTCCATGGACTTCTTAGATGCCAGAACAGGTCATTGACCTGAGATGACCCGGGTCGAAATTTTGTTGTAGGAACATACTGCCTAGCGTAATCTTTCTCCCTTATTCAAATGCAAAACTCAGAGCAGTATTGTGTGATTTTAGTTGCCATGACCTTCAAAGGTCAAATAAGGTCATTGACCTCGAATGTGCTTGTGATCTTTTGCTTAGAAACAGTTGCCTAGGTTCTGGGGGCACTTTGGAGACCAGCCTGGAATTTGACATTGTTTAATCTTATGTGGCCTGATGGTCATGATCTAGGAAGCTTAAACTTTTACCTAAGCGAGTTCACGTACAGGTCAAAGCACCCTGCAAATTTGGTGTCTTTAGCTTTCTTAGTTTCCGAGATCTCAGGGGGGTCAAATTGACCCCCACCCGAGCGAAGGGTATCTAGCCGGCCATCCGGGTACGTGTTAATGAGCAATGTCGGCTCCACCCTGGTCACCGGCATGGCTCCCAAAGCGTGGAAACACGCGCTTGTCACACCAACCCACAAGCGGAAAGCGTCCAAAAACCCCGAATGAAACGCTTTTTTATCTGTTCTGCCTGCTATTATGAAAGCATCCGAGCGGGTCGTCCAAAAACAACTGTCTAGCTATCTGGAAACATCATCGTTGTTATTTGACGCTCAACACAGCTGCCGTAAGAGGTTTTCAGCGGAATCGGCGCGTCGCGCCACCACTGCCGAATTACCATGGGCCATGAAAAAACGAAGTTTCTGATCTTGCCCCGTTATGCCTTTCAAGATGCTTCGATACCATCCATTTCGAAAAGCTACTTGCAAAGCCTTTCGCGTATGCCGTTCGCTTGCAAATGCATTGGAATACTAAAAACAACACGTGATCCCGAGTACAGACAGCATGGACGGCTCGGGCGAGCGCGCAAGTCTTACCAGCGTTCTCCGCAGCCTAATGCAGCCTCCATGACATCTGCAGATGTCGGTATGACACCCGGGCCGTCTTCCGCCTTGCCAGCTCACGTGGTGCCTCGGCTGTCCTCAGCTCCCCACCAGTCCTCTGGCCCTCTGTCCTCTGTAGTCACATCCCCGTCCTGTGCTGACGTGACAGCGCTGGTAACGTCCCTTGACAGCGAACACGTGCATGCGGACGGGGCGTCCCACTAAGCTCGCATTGTCACCGGCTGTCGTCGTCGCAGAGGCAACTCTCGGGCTCCGACACACCCTGACGCTGCCGAGGCTGCGAGGCCGCTGGGTGCAGCGTTTATTCTCACATCACTACAGCTACCAGGCATCACATGTAAGCAAGCTGTCACTAGGAAGTGCAGCGACTAGGACCAGTTCGTTCTCTCAGAGCACGTGGCTACTCTCAGCCCAGACAATGCGTGAAGCAGACAAACTCGTGTGAGCACAGCAAGCTGCAGTGAGCAGCAGTTCATATGTCAATACCCGCGCCTTGCTTAGAACCGGATAAGGAGCTTCTCGTTTTGAGTTGTGGGTGGTCTAAGTAGTGGCTATTGTCAACGTTAATGGTTTCGTGGGACACTTTGGAAACAAACACCGACGACACGAACCGAGGTCCGGACATCGCTCAAGCACCACTTGAAGAAACAAAACGTCGATGGCCCACCGGCGCCTTGTCGCGGGCCTTCTGGAATCTGCAGAGAGCCTGCTCCACTGGGAATGTGCACACGGGGGGCAGTCGAGCTCGGTCTCGCACACCCCGCCGTCTCGCCTCGACCGTCTCGGCACACCCCGCTGTCTCGCCTCGCCCGTCGCCGCAGAGTGCCATCGGTGCCACCCACGGACCGTCCAGCCGTGGTCCGTCACGGATGATGACGTCACTGACGGCCCGTGACTGATAACGTCACTGATGGTCCGTCACTGACGGCCGCGTCTTCCGCTGGCCGTCATCTCCGCTCTCGGAGCCACGGTCCGCCGCCTTTGGTTGGGACTGGGGCCTGCCCTGCGCGGCCGCGGGCGGCGCAGTGACGCTCGTCGCGTGCTGGCCGGCAGAGGGAACCATTCTTCCCTCGGGCCGCCGTCCCAGACTGTCACCGCCCTCGGGATAGTACGCCCTAGCGCCTGAAATCGCCCGCCTTGCGAGGAGTTCAGTCGAGCCGCAGGACGCGACTCGCAGCAGCGCGCGAGCTCGCAGCAGTCCCACCGGCTGGTGACGGCCGCTCGAGGGCGGGCCGTGACGCTGTCCGCCGTGCCGCGCCGTGGCCGGTCTACAGGCGAGCGCCGGTCCAGCCGCAGGCCGGCCGGCCCGCCGTGCCGACCGTCTCGCTGGCCTGGCTGCGCCCCTGCGCGCCGTTCAGCGTCCGGCCCGCCTCGTGAAAGGCAATCGTCGGGCAGGGCAGGGGCGGTGGCCGGCGACGGCGCGCGCCGCCGCACAGGATCTGGGTGAAGGCGCGCTTGAACTCGCGCGAGGTGCAGACGTAGATGAAGGGGTTTAGGCAGCTGTTGCAGTATCCCAACCAGAAGAAGAAGGCGAACAGAGGCTCCGGGATGTAGCACATGGAGCACAGCGCACCTGAAACAGGCCAGAGGGCTTAGATACGGACGACACACATTGTCGAGAACATGGGGGTAGGAAGGAAGGAAGGCAGCGGTGGTAGGAAGGTAGGCAGGAAGGTAGGTAGGAAGGCAGCGGTGAGTGGCTCAGCAGGCTTGGGATATACAGACCTAGTCATAACCATACGGCGGAAGATACGGAAGAACGCGTAGTGAGGCAGGAGACAACGTGACGTTGCCGAACTTCACGTGAGGGTCAAAAGGAGCTTCAAGCTTAATCAGGAGGGAATGCTGCGGAAAATGGACGCTAGGAGCGGTGCGGGAGGAGCCCGCGGAGCCTGCTCCTCAATCCCTAATAGCTGCATGGTGTTGCAGTAACACGCGCCGGGTTCACCGGTTGAATGTGGCGCGCTTCGGTCGGGGGTCATTTTGACTCGCCCTGAGATCTCAAAAACACCAAACACCGTGTTCATATTGGTAAGGGGACCTTTCCTTTAGATAGTGAAAATGAACAGAAACCGGGGGCATTGTTTTCATATATGAATATGTAATCAGCGCCAAATGCTAACTTACTCGGCTACACCTCTAACTTAAAGGTTAGTTGAGGTCAGTTTAGATCACGTACCTCTCCTGATCTTCATTAAGTAAAAATGAGCAATCTTGTGACGTTCTCGTGATCTGGACTTCAAAACGATCGTCCAAAAGTACCCGTCAAAGCTAGTTGCCTAGTAAGAAGGTAGTTAGGTTTGGACTTCGACCTGACCTTTATACCTGACTCAAGGTAAGTGGAATTTGTCGTAATCGTAATTATAATAATCTAATTGTCTATAAAAAACGCCTCGAAGGTGTATGACTTCGTCTAACACTTCGTTGCTGCATCATGTTAAACGATTCCCAAGAAGTTGCATTCGCTGACAGCCATGACCTATATTTGACCTGCTCTAGGTCAACGACCTTTCAGCATCTATTTTTCATACCAAAATATTGGCTGTTCAGTGAGCAGTGAGCTGAAAAGTTTGTTAGGTTATTTAAGTTGGAAAATATGCTGGAAAATCTCCGTTGTGGGGTCAAACTGACTCTTACCCAAGTGCGTATTAAAAGAGAGGTAAAATTTGATCCCAACTGTAACTCCTCGGAGCTTCCAACGACCCCGTTACTGATCAGCGACGGTGGAACTTCCTTGGTGGTGGAAGTGTTTTAGAAAAAGTTGTATATGTCACCATCTGCATCATACTGATATCTTGTTACGGGCATGTGCATCCCTCGAGCATGAATATACACACTGCCGTGCGTGTGCATACGCACACGCGTGTACAAATATTGTTGTACATACGTATTCAGTTGTAATTGCGTTTGCAATTTCCGTTTCTCACTTCCATTATTTGGCGCTCAGTGGGCAACGGAGCCTTACAATCCCAGAGTCATCCCAAGGCGTTGCGATTCCGACGATGCAGCGGACCTGACGGCGTCTCTCACCATCCAGTGCGGTGTCCCTGTCAAAACGGCTCGAGTCCGTCCCAGTTCAGTCACACCGCGATGAGTTTCCCCGGCAATGCGGCCTCCGAACGAGCTTATTCCACTGATCGCCGGCGATGCCTCTCAGCAGGAGTCGAGGAGGCGTCCAATGCCGGCCATGGCTAGCGGCCGGATCTCGGTCGGCGCGAAACACGCCGTGGCCGAACAATTATGACATCGGTGACGCTGACGTCACAACGTAAGATCATCGCCTAAGTACCGATGGCGTGGTTTTATGCAAACGTGCACCGGATATGATTTTGTATCAGGTGTATATCAATTGCTTACTGACGTCGGCATTTGAGCGATGTTATTCCTTGGTCAATAGTCATCCAATATAGGCATGCCCTGGATATAGAAGCCTTTTATTACTTTTACTACTTTACTTTTATTACTTTTGCTACTTTTGTATATATATATATATATATATATATATATATATATATATATATACATGCATATATATGTATGCATATGTGTGTATAAATCTCAATTGCTTACTGGCGTAGGCATTTGAGCGATGTTATTCTTTGGTCAATAATCATCCAATATAGGCATGTCCTGAATGAATAAGCCTTTTCCCGCTGGTAGGGGGGGGGAGGGGGGGGGAGGCGCGGGTTCTGCATATCCCGCAACGCTTCTCTTTTTTTGCTTATCACTCCTAAATTGTTCGCCACATCGCCATGCAGTCTTGCGACTTTTCACGGGATTCATATGTCATACTCAAACAATTTCGCAAAAACTGATTACACGGTGGCAAAACTGATTACACGGTGGCAGTTTCAGGCCTCGCTTTCGGCACGTCATCTGTTGTGTGAGGGTTTGAAGAGTCAATTGGAATGTCGTACGGCACAATTTCGTAACATTTCGAGGTAAATTAGCACGCGCTCGACTGGGGGACGTGTGGAATCAATTTAACCCCTTTCCGAAAGTTTTCCAAGATAACTTTCGAATGGTGCGGCGTATTACGCTAAACTTGAAGTGTAGGCAGTCGAATAGCTTATGTTTTGGCATACATATTCGATGTACGTTGAAAGGTCTTCGAGCAACGACAGGCCAAAGTCGGGCCATGTCTGTCGGCAAGGGCAATTCCTTGCGAACATTCAATCTGATGCAATAACGGAGTGTTGGACGAAGCCGCGCACCTTTGAAATGGATCCTTAGACAATTATACCTTTTAATTAGGATCATGACTAATTCATAAACCATAGATCAGGCAAAAAGATTAGGCCAAGGTTAAATCCAAACCGTTTTTAAGAAAGCGTTATGGGATAGTGTGCCACGTTCATTTGGAGTTTATTGATCACAGGAACGTCCATAGACGTCTTAGTAGGACTTGACGCTTATTTCAGTTCAAACATCAAAACAATTTTGAAGATTGTTGGTCATCTTTATATTCTGAAGGTCAAAGAAAATCACTAACCTGAAATGAACACCAGCGACCTTTGATTTAGAACAAGCATCTATGCTAATACTAATTGCGTGAGAAGGTCAGCTCGCACACTGGTTGGAATTTGACCTTGTCAGACTTTACGCAACCTCAAGTCTATAACCAAGACAATTAAACAAGTTGGCGGCTCAACTTGCCCCAGGCGCAAGGTCAATGAAATACTTAACAACGGGAAGCCCACAGGCAACGGGCAATTTGTTAAGCAAACAGCCAAAGCAGCTGACGCGCCCTTAAAATTTAATAGCTAACTAAGCCAATTGGTGCGTTAGTTGCAATTTTTGTCGGTTTGTATGTGCCACCATCGCCTACTGAAAATTGGGTTCAAAAACGTATATCGTGTGGAACTTTTACAAATAGAAAATCTCACATTAAACGGTCCCAGGTTCTGCTTTTTGGCGGGTCGCCTGCGTTGCGTGAAACCAAATGAAAGCGAGTTTGCGTGGCATGCTCGCATTAAGTGGTAACATACAGATGGGAAATTCACTTCTGCAATTGTATACACAAATCACGTTACCCGGAGTGATATAGACGAGGCATTTGTTTAACGGATGGGATGAATGTACGGACTACCGTCCTCGTCTGGAATCTTGGTATGTACACGACGTTTCGGCCAGTTAATTAATTCTTTAACCATCGTCAGCAATTATTGAGTCCTGAGAAGGACTGAAAGGTATCCCATTTTAGCCCTGTGCGCTTAATGGCACAACCTGTCTCGGTTCAATTGATGGAGTTCAAACCAGACTTTTACTGCGTTTGAGTCCTGGCGATTTAGGGAGACTTTGGGATGGGATGCGCATTTGGTAAAGAGCCAAACACCGCCGAGTCCTCAGGCCTAATAAAACTAGGCGAGAGCCGTAAAATTATTGGCCGAAATGGTGTGTGCATGTCAATACGTCAAATTAAAACGATGCCGCCGACAGCTATTTTATCCGCGATCATGCCGAACAAGCGTCATAACTTTTTGGCAAGTAAGCACTCAGCTACTGAAAGAGGAGAGAGCCAGTCGGCGGGTTGTTGAAGAAAAGTGGCGCTTATTGTGGCCTCTTCATATTGTTTACCTGGACTCGTCTCTGTGCAAGATATTGAATACTACATATTAACTTGCGAAACTGATAGCTGACACATCTATAAGCAGATTGTATGGCGCGATAACATCACCAGATCATTAGACCGGATCTTATTTCATGAGATCGTAAGATTTTCAGTTCGGTTTTCAGGTTTGGATATGCGAAAACCCTTTCAATCTAACCTAAAAGGCGTTTGTCCCATTGCAATTGGTGCATAAACATGAACACGACAGCCTTTCAAGAAGCAAATTCAAAATTTTGTTTTCTTGGTCTACTGCTTTACATTTGTTTAATTTTAAGGGCTTAAGACTGGAGGACTCACCGAGACAAACCCAATGGTGTCTGTGCCATCAAAGCCAGGCAAGACGTGGGGTTCTCGAGATCTTTGAGGGTACAGCTGCGAGGTTGGGCAGATTCTACCCTGCAGAATCTCCCCATCCTCCCTCGCAGGCAAACTAAATAAACTGCACTGTTTGAGCTCCTTTATTAAAGTTCTAAAAAATCGCTTGTTCTGTTATATATCAATCGACAGCTACAGCACCGTGTCCACGGACTTTTCTAATGGATAATATAATACATCATCTATTATACAAGATATATGATAAGATACATAAAATATGATATTATCATATAACAGCTCAATAATATTTCGCCGATAATTACCCATATTCCTGTCTCTCACACACACATACCACCGGTTTCCGCATGCTGAATCAATGACACCAAGAGGTCCGACAGAACGTCCGGGCCTGGCAATCGATGTCGAATTGTGCGAGTTTAACCTGGAAAAAAACTTCCTCATCGCTTCTTTCAATCGCTCGATTTCCAGCCAGACCCAAAGTTGCCACCGGAAGCCTCCAGATGGACCTGTTTGAAGGCAGCCGGCTACACCCAAAAAGAGTTCCTGATGGGCTGCAATTTCCGTACTAGGGTTCGCACACCGAAGTTCAGTTCATCTCCGGGGATACGGGAACAGGCCAGATGTAG